CCTTGATTGAAAATAAGAAAGTAATTTTTCTCTGTATAAATTGAAATTCATTCCAACTATCAAAGAAAATGATAGTTATTTTCCTTTAGATGTTAGAGAAAATGTTCTGGCTTTTGATATCTTATTGATGATAATCCAACGATTATAAAAAAGCAGCTACAGTATTATAAGATTTACATTCTTCCTGATTATAAATATATGAAGATTTTGACAAAGCTGCTGATGAATATAAAAACAATAGTGTTACGACCGGGTTGTTAACGGATTAACGCTATGGACCTGTTAAAATTTCTTAACGTTAACCCGTTACAATTCGGTAATCCGTTAACTACCGGATAAGGCGTAACGCTAATTTCAAAGAATAAAGGAAATTATGACGATAAATCTATTTATGAATAGTAGATATAACTTTTTTGGGTTTTATAGTTGCTATGATTTATGATCAATATTGTATTTCCCTTCTAAGGATATTTGCTTTTTGTTGGGTAATAACATACTTTCATTCTGTTTTCTTTTTCTAACATTTATTATTTTCCTTTCTTGGTAAATTTCATAAGTAATCCTTTTTTTCTTAGATAATCAGAGTATCATTTTATTTTGAAAATATAAGGAGCAATTTTTTCGCCTTGTTCCTTTTTCAAAATACTTCTAATGATACTATGTTCCATACATAGTAGTAGATCTAATGTAAATGAGTTTCATATTAATATTAATTATTTTTATTTAGTGATAAAACAAATGTGATGTTAAACAAACGCTATTGATCCCTGAAATTTTTGGTAATACCAATGTTCACTTTGTCTGGTATGCCCCCATATTAAATAATAACAAAAACTGCTGGCTGCGTAATCCAAATGAGCAATTTGTTAAACTGACTAAGTTAAGTTATTACTAAATTAGGGTTTTAGCCCTTTTACACTGCCAGCCACGTACGTATATATATGAGGCAAGTGATTTGGATATTATTTTATCCTCGCTGATCATTATATAAAACACATGATTACACTCTACCCTTAAAGTTTTTTCTGTAATACTATAGTATAATATAGTATAATATACATTTTAAAAAAAATTTTTTTTTTCCCAAGTTGAGCAACCAAAACAAGTTTACACAACAAAACACTAGAATAAGCACCGCCGCCCAAACAATTTTATAAACAATAAAAAAATTTTTTTCTTTACGTCAACAAAAAATTTTTTTATTAATATTAATAATAATTTTGATTTTTTCCCGTTTTATTTTTAATAAAAAATTTTTAAAAATAAAAATTGCTCTTAAATAACGAGAAAGAAGGAAAGAAGTAAATTTCAAAAAAAAAAGTATATATATATTACTCCCCCAAAAAAGTTTATTTTATTTCGCATATTAAAGTTTTATTTCGCATATTAAAAATTTGTCTCTTATTACTTTTCTCTAAAAACTTTTCCAAAAAAGAAAAGAAGATTATAGTATTATTACACGATTACAATGACTGGAAAGTAAGTAGTGTCTAGATTTTTGTTTATATTGATAATAATAAATAATGATTTACTTTATCACTATTGTTATAATTAATCAATTAAATTTATCTATCTATTTATTTATATAGAATGTTTTCATCAATAAATGAAGAACTTGCACATTATAAAACTCGTGTTTTTGATTTAGAGCAAACATTACTTGATACACAGAGTTCTATGGAAGAATTCCAATCTTCGTCAAGAGAATTGGAAGAAGAACTTGAACGTGAATTAGAACAATCAGAAAGAAGATATGTTGATATAAAAGCAAAGAATGAAATGTTGAAAGATGAAGTAGATCAATGGAAGGTGATTGTCAAAAAATAATTTATTTGACTTGTCATTATTATTATTGATTATTGATCGGAATATATATATGTGTATGTGTGTGTATATTTTAGCAAAAATATTACCAAGCTAGGTCTGATGCCAATGTCACACAACAACAAATGCAAAGAGAACTTGATAGTTTAAGAAATGTTGAAAAGACATATGCTGTAAAAACTCGCGAGTTGGAACTTGACAATGATGATTTAGAAAGAACAGAAAGGTTAGTAGGTTGGACAGATAGATGAATTGACAGATTAAAATATTTATATTATCCATATCATTTATATAATATTAATTCTTTTCTTACATAGAGCTGCAAAAAGTTCATTGCAAGATTTAGAAAACAAATATAATAAAGCAATAGAGCGTAATGCAATCTTAGAAAATGAATTAGAAGGAAAGAATATATTAATTGTCCAAGTACAAAGATTAAAAGATGAATTAAGAGGTAAATATATCAATTTTAACAAAATAAATGTAAATATATATAATATTATCATTATATATAACTTTAAATTTTTATCTAGATGTAAATATAGAATTGGCTATATTGAAAAATCAACAAGATGGTGAATATGGCCCACCACCACCATCATCAGCTTCCCAACTATATTCAATACATAAGACAGAATTATCACGCTCACCATCACATGTGTCTATCGATTCAAATTCATCTGACGTTAGTCCAAATCCGGTAAAAATGGTACAAGAAATGGTTGGCCGGGTCAAGGTAACTTATATATATTATCACATTATTATTATATATATTTATTTTATTTATTAACAGTTATATTTGTATTTAATAGAGTTTGGAAGCACGTTTAGTATCATGTCGTTCACTAGTTACACCTTTATTAGCACCACCTCCATCATATAGCACAACAATGCCATTACAAAATGGTATAAATTCACCCCCATTATCACCAAAAACTTCACGTTTTGATTCACCTTACATCACATCTCTGAAAGAAAAAAGACGTAATTCTGTTCAAAAATCAAAATTTAATATTTCACCTACTCCAACTAAATTAAGCTCATTTGGCAGGGTTTAACTCAACCAAACAATGATGGTATTATATTTTCATATCAAAAACAATAACAAAATCAACAAAGTAATGAAGAAGAATGTACAAAAAAAGCATGTGATTTTCTTTTGATTAATTTAATAAGGAGGTGGTGGATTAATGATTAATAACAATAACAATAACAATAATTTCATTAGTATCAAAAATAATTATAATTGCTGGATTTTTTTAATTATAGACTTTTAGCAACAATAATAAAATCAACAATACTATTCAATACTTCCCTATTCTCCTACTATATATATATAATACTCCTAATACCCTTCCTTAATTTCTTTTTTTCCTATTCTGCTTGATTTTTTCCTTTTTAATTCTGCTTGCTTATTTATATTGATATTATTATTCACTTGGATACTTTAAAAACAGCTTTAATAATTCCAATTAGTTCTTTATTTTATATTAAATATCTTCATGTACCATATTGATGGAACAAAATCATTGCATTGCAAATTCAATAATTAAGCCCTCTTTCTTTTTAAAAAAAAAAAAAAAAATAGCAATGCAAAAGTTATTATAGAAGCAAACAAAATTTTTAAACAAAAATCAAGTAGAGTAAACAAAGAAACCAAACTATTTTTTCAAATTAATAGAAATCATATCCCCTTTTTAATACAATAATATTTCTATCGTCTATCTCTTCAACAAAGAAGACAAATTAAAAACTTATTTTTATTTTTCATCATTCATCATCATTATAACTATAATTATAATTATAATTATTTTAACACAAATCAACACCTTTAAACTGCCATTAATATCGTTTATTTTTATACATATAATCTTCATTATAATATTAATTATTGGATCTTATCCTGTTAATATTATCTATGTAATTTATATCCTAATAGGATTGTTATTATTTTAATTTTTTCTTTAAAAGTAGCTTATTATAATTATTTAATTATTTCTATATTTTCCTCTCCCACTTTATTATTTAGACTAATATATATATATATATCCACACATACACATACATTTTAACAATTGATTTCTTGATGAAATAATTTTTTAAGATTTTTAAGTTTTTTCAAAAAATAAATAAATAAAAGGAATTTTCTTTTATACAGTTTTTTTTAATATATAAATTTATTTATATAGTCAACCATTTAATTAATTTGACGAAGGAAAAAACCACAAAGCAAATAAACTTTTGATGGGATTGAGAGCCATTCAATATACATGTATGTATATTGATTGAAGTTTCTCTCACTTTTATCATAAATCATCTAAAGAAATTTATATTAGATTATTGGGTTTTTCCCGATTCATTTAAGATTATTTTATGTTTAAATTATTAAGGTTTAATGAATTTATATTCAAACATTAAAATTAAAGTTATAAATAATAAAATATTATATAATATAATATATATATAAATTTATACGCAATAATATTTATTTATTCGTTCATCAATCCAATCCTATATATATAATTAATGAATTCCAATATTTTAATAAATTCTTATAATGGTCTTCTGGTCGATAACCATTCATTTGCTTTTAAGAAAGATCATCTGAAATAGAGAATTAATTGCCACAATAATCTAAAAAAAATATTTTTTTTATTAACAATTATTTAACAATTATTAATAAAGGCGTGAAGAAAATTTCTAATTTCGGAATAAATTTTTTTTCTTTTAATATAAAACTTTTTGAAAATCTTGTCGATTTTTTTCTTATTTGTGAAAACTCACTAATCAACCATTGTTCCAAAAAGGAAATCTTTTTCAGGCCGTTTTTTTTATATAAAAAAAAATAAATAATAAATAATAATAAATAATAAATAAATATTTATATTTAAATATTTAAATATAAACATAAAAATTAACATTAATATTAATATGAAAATGTTGAAATTGATATCGAAACGGTCTTTGTTCCCTAGCTTTATTAAACTGAATTTTTTGGGAAGCACAAGAGTAAAATCAAAAGGTAAAAAAACATTGTAGTGAACAATTTTGCGATTCTTCAAATTATTGACATCAAATATTAAAAACGATTTTTTTAAAAATCTTCCTTTGTACGTACAATGATAAAAAGATCTAACCCACTATGAACCACCAGTGTAAATATTTTAACTATATTTAGTATTTTATTAATGGAAGTCTA